TGACTGACTGACTGACTGACTGACTGACTGACTGACTGACTGACTGATTGACTGACTGACTGACTCACTGTCTGACTGTCTGACTGACTGACTGTTCGTTGCAATGAGGGTACTGATATTGATTTGGTGGAGGAATGGCTCATTTGATTGAACAAATTTCCCTGTGTTTTAGTACCTGAGTTACCCTCGGTATATCGTACTTTGTCCGCCACAAATAAAATACTGATACTGAATTTAAAATATGGTTTGATCTTTTTGGCGTCTCGATTGTGAGTGTGCAAATCGTTGGAAACTTGCTGTTTAGAAATGGTACGATTTTCTTGCTTTTTGCGCTGGTGCATTTTTCACGTCTACTTGTTGGAGATCAGGTGATCTCTGAAGTAGTGGATAGCCTGCCTGGAGGTTGTTGAGTGATTTTTCCTTTGTCATGAGGAATTGTAATAAAACTTTGAAGGTTGGGCTAATGCAGTATTGATAAGCGGCGTTGATTCATGCCACTGTATGTATTTACTACAAATCTGTTTGCTGACTGACATTTCAGTGAGATACTTGAGTGAAAAGAAGCAGGTACATGGTCCTTAAATTGCCGGAAAACAATGGTGTGAAATTTCTCTTCTCTCCATTTGAGCATCTGAACGGATGTCGAGCACTGATGCTTTAGGCCGAGAAGTATTCCTTATTCCCGAATTTGATACTCTGTGCGGATTGAGGGAAAATTTTCTTCTCAATCAAATCGTTAGGGTGGGTGAAATGCAGCTTTAAAGCGTCTAACACTTTTTTCCGTCAACGTGTTATCATACCTACAAACAGAGCAGGACATTTTCGCATTTATTTTTATATTATTTATAATTTACTAGTCTTGAATATTTTGTGGCCAGGTTAATGTTAGAGTTATTTATGATCGCATTACAAATAGGCAGGTGGACTACTCGCAATGACTGTTTGTGGTCTGGAAATGCAGTGAATATTTGGCTTCCAGCCAACTGCCCTAGTTGTTTCTTGATCTGTTTGTTTCTTTGACATCGTGACCGGATAATTTATCACAGTACGAATCCATGAGGTACTACGTGGAGGCGATCATAGTTAAACACAACCTCCCGTCGCATTGCGGTACTTTGTCACTTTGAATAAATGCGTTGATTTTCCTATCAAAATTCCTCTTATCACCTCACGAGCAAACAGTTAAGTTGGCAAAAGAACATGACTTAAAAATTCATAAATTATAGGCATATGACCAACTTCCTGTTATTTG